ATTCGGCCTAACTTTGTTGAAAACAATCGGTTTTAACTCACCGGACAGTTGAGCATAATCAGCCGGATATCATATTAGTAGAAAAAGATGAGAAGCGGACGTGGTTGTTGGATATTGGCATCCATTCCAAACTTCCACAATGTGCAGAAGTACAGCACTGAAAAGATGGTTGAGTACCAGTGGCTGGGTGAAGAAATCCGACATTTAAGGTGGCAGCAGCAGGTACATATCGCCCCGCTGATTCTCTCCACCACGGGAAATGTTCTTAAATCCCTTACTGAGAATATAGGGAAGCTGGCTATATCAGTGAGGGTGAGGAACAAAAAACAGAAAGCCGTAATCTTGGATAGCAGCCAAGTTTACGGCTTTCTGTACTTATATCGTACGTCGCCACCTCTCAGTTTAATAATTTAAAATTAAAAAATTTTGTACAACCGACTTCAATATAAATTATTAAGAATAACTCAAAAACTATTAGTCATACCTTAATCAAATTTATATGGGACTACATGTGAAGCGCCAGCTTTCAAATATAAGAAGAATCAACGAAATCGGTTCACCCAATAAAAAGTGATGAGGTAACATGCATAAAAAAAACATACAGTCGAATTGAGTACCGTATCCACAGACTACTTAGTGGATACTACGTATCCTTTTTGAAATCGGTAGAAAAATAAAGGACGGAATCTTGCGATCAGCCGATGCCTCAATTAAAAATCCAAAAAGGAGCGCTAAGAAAAGTTTTTAGAAAAATAATAATAATTTTACCTAAGAATTTGCGCAAAGTAACGCCTGATTCTATTAATGAAGCCGATTTGTTATTTGAGAAAAATGGCTATAAAGTTACCACAGTGATTTGAACATCATAAAGCTTATATGGAGTCTATTAAAGAGATGAATTGCAGAAAAAAACGTGAGTCGGTAAGCAAAAATATATTTAAAATTACCGAAGAGGCTCTTTACAGTATAACTTCGGATGAGTGGGAAAAAGTGCAATCACGTGAATAATAATACAAATACTACAATGAATAAATGTAGACAAAGAAATAGACAAGTTTATAATTGAAGTGACAGTGATCATTCTGAAGGGAGTGATTTTCGTTATGACGGATAAGCAATATCTCCGGTGTGGGGTCTTTTAGATGAATATAGTTATTCGAAGAGTAAATTGTGGTTTTATGTTTTTTAATAAAATTTTATTTAACACTTTATTCTTTTTTCATATTACGACAACCTGCATAATTATATTTGTTTTCTTCTTCTACCGTGTCGACACGAGCCACAACCATTAGGTGTACTTGTGCTGTGGTGGAAAGGTTAACTAGACAACAAAGATAAACTCTGGTTTCGTCCTTCGGGGAGGCTTTTTCCTTGCATTCCAGTAAAAATACTAACTGTCTCCATAATTCCTGTGTAGCAATGTTCAAATACAATTTTTACCCATTTCTTAAAGTACAAATTAAAATTAGTAGGCAATTTGTAAAAATAATGTAGTCTGCAATACTTCCTAATATGTATTAGGTAATTTCGTTGCCCAAAATGTAGCAACACTGATTTCTTTTCTACCAACATTATAGTGCCACCAACTTATCTGTGAACTGACAGCTTGGCGCTTCAACGCTGAAGTGTTGCCAGTTCGGGAATATTCCCATCTAAGGGTCTTATATTCCTACATAGAGTCCACATACTAGGGTAATAAATTAGTCACGGAATAAAAAGACTAGAACACAGATTTAACAGATATATGTCCAAGAACAAGAAGAAACAAAAATATCATAATTGAACAATTTAAACTTTAATTAAATAATATGCCTTTATGCCTTTTTTACCGGGCGTTGTAATTTGCGTTCCTGTGGTTTATGCGGTTTCCGGTTCTTTAACTATTTTGGAAATGAATCCTTGACTAACATCTGAAAAAGAAGTGAATTGCATTAACCAATCCATTTATCGGAAATACGAAAGGAAGGAACAAAACATAGCAATACTGACCTGTAGCAGCTGATACTCTTTTATAGACCTGATTGAAAGGCATTATCGGTGCTTACCCTCGAGCTTCTTGCTCACAAAAGTTTAATACTTATAAAATAATGTTTCGGGCATCACTTTTAATGGTTTTCGGCATTTTTTATTTTTCTATAAACTCTCAAAACAATGACGTATCGAGTGACATTTGATTAAATGGCGGTTGTAGTTCACAATTTTGCCGCAGCTGTCAGTTCACAGATACGTTGGTGGGACTATACGTCGAAGTGAAACGCACTTTATATGTACTATATTATCTATGATCTAGTCTATGTATGATGCACAGAGTACATTTGGTACGCTCTACAAGTGTTTTCACTTATAGGGTTTTCGCCTTTTTTTTTTTAGGGCGAAGCCCACGTCACGTCACGGAATATAAAAAACAAGAGGAAGCGCAAAGTGGACGGAGCAGGCGAGTCACAATTAGTGACAGCAGAGCGTAATTGACTGTCAGTCACAGGCTCAAATTGTTGCGAGCTGACGGATCAATGCTTAAGTGATATATGCGAAAATATGCCTTTTTGGGCAATATTAGAGACTAAAAACGAAAATAAAAAGAAAAATATTTTAAATGGAGGTGTTTCGTACCAAACGCTCGTGTAATTTTTTCCTTTTTTTGGATAGAAACTTGACTAAACATGGACAAAATTTCAAATTGCCTTTATTTACAAGTAATATTCAACCTTATTTCGTCATACTAAGGTTTTTCTGTAAAAATAGCTGCGCTACGCGCTCTAGTTGTGACTAGGCCGATATTAAAGTTTTCAATAAAATTTTATCACAGTCCTGTTCATCCACTAATATATTAATGAAAATTTGCAAATACTGGATGTCTATGAAAATATACGATATTATAGAGTACCTACCCTATGAATAAACTTTTGTTAGGGTTGCTAAGCCAGAGAAGTAAATAGTTTAATAATACTCACAACTTTTGGAAAGAAGCTGAAATAAAAGTGATCTTAATATCATGATGTATCTGAATTAATTATCGTCTAAACTTTAATATTAAAGTGTGAAAATGATAATTTTTAACAAATGTGTTATTTCAATGAGAATAAACCATTGCGAAATTATTGTTTTTTATTATTTTCCTTGTTTTCATTTCATAAATGATAATATAGCTAACAATCAATAAATTTCCATTAAAGACGATTAATTATATGCCGGCCGGAATTACGGGGATATACGTAATACATCAAGACAATTTCCAATAAATTTTGCAATTTTACTCATTTTATCATAATTTTTTTTCAATTATGTTTCTTCAGTCAATACATTTCATATACATCATAATAATCATATATTTAATATCGATGTAAGCCAGATCACTTTCAGGGAGAGTAACTACATCACGAACATCATTCACGTAGTAGTGTAGGTTAGGTAGGGCAATGTCAACGTTATATCTATTGCCATTATATCCATAATAGTGTTAATTTATTATTGCGACATATAACGTTAAGAAGCTAAATTTGCTCATTAATTCCAGAAACTTCGTGGTGAAAAGTAATATGATCTCTATATTTAGTATAATATGGTTTGTACTCAAGTCAATGGTGAGTAACTTAACGCCTTTTTCTTTTATTTTTTAATAGCCAATCACGCAAAAATTATTGAAATGGTACACAATTTTGGGTACACATTGCTTTCTTGCATATGTGTGTGTTTGGCAACAGTGGTTCTGCTACAAATTTTTATTTTCCGTGTTTAATGTATGGCTTTGGGCTAGTTTTTGTTGATTTGGGGTAATTTGGGGTAAAATCGAATATAAAAGTGGCAGCACTGTTTTAACATATACGCCGTTCATACACACTGTACACATTCGACCAATTTAAGCAAATGAGTGAAAAAAAGTGTTTGATTTATTTTGACAGTGAGTGTCTCAGAATTTAGTGTTTGTAGTCTTTGTTGTAGTGACACCTATATAAGTCATTTGTTTATAACTTTATATTCTCACTTCTTACTGAACCACATCCTTTAAATTGAGATTTCACTTCTGTTAGCACTGCCGTAGTCGAAAACTGAGGTGGAAAGATTATTCAGTGTATTAAAAAACTTGAAATCCGACAAAAGAAATAGGCTCTATAAAGAAACTCTCAATGGTTCTTTGCATACCAAACTCAGCTTAAAAGGTTCGATTTTGAACTCCACAAATCTACGGTGAATGCAACTTTAGCATCAGCATCAGCTTCATACTGTTCACCTTCTACTACTTCTCTTCAATAATTGTTTACTACCCAAGGTGTATGGTTGTAGAAAATAACTTTATTAAAATAAAAAGATAAAGTTTTTGTTTTATTTCTAACTCTAAATTTTACGCCTTATATCAAGGATTTTCGCAAACTTATTTGAGGTATTTGAGCAATTGTCAAAAAAATCTAGGGCAAAATTAAACCTGTTAGTGGAAACACTGCGATCTACACATCACAATACGGATGAGCAAGGGAAAAATATATCGATATATATTGAGTCGATATTTTAAACAGTATCGATATACATCGCGTGATAAATGTCGATATATTGTCATAATTTGCACGATGTAAGGATAAGGCCCTATCTAATAGTTATTTAATATGACTGACGGTTGGACGACGAAAAAAAACGACAACCACTCATGAATGCTATGTTGTATCTCCGTTAACTGTTTCATGTTTTTTGTCCATTAATATAACATTTTAAAATATATTAAAATTGATACGAATTCGATACTCTTAAATTAATATCGATATATCGTGTTTAAAAATATAGACGATATATATCGATACTTTTATGAGAAAATATCGATATATCGATATGTTTTGCTCAAGCCTACATCACAGCAGTTCTTGCGTTTCTGTATTTAGGTACTATGTGGCGTTAAAATAAAAACGAAGAATTATTTTACTTTTAAATTTTAGAATGTGCATAGCGTGTGGTGTTGCGATAGTGCTCGTTAATTATCGTGTGCTACTGTTATATTAGTGAAACAGATCAAAATGCGTATCGGTTTTGTGATATATTGGTGCGTTCTTGCATTTCATCTGTGTGAAGCTGAGGATACAGAGAGGACAGATTCAAAAGAAAATGGTCGAAGACCACAATGGGGACCAGGTTCTCGTAGTGGCTCATTTGTGAGCGACGCAGTCATATCGGTGTCCAATGATCAAAGTAAGTTCAGTAATCAGTATTATTTTAACACATTCAAATTTCTCGGCTAATGACACCTGTTTGTGTCCTTCACTTGGTCCATTGTGACATCTATTACAAGAATTGATTTATGTTTGTGATAATATGATACGGTTTCTCATTTGTAGACTAAGGTTAAGCCCGCGACCTTTAAAACATCTGTTTGCTTTAAGTGAAATAATTACAAAAGTTTTAAGTCGTTAACTAGCTTTGCTTACTACAGTTAATATGTAATTGTTTTAAACTATCACTTAAAACTTGGCGGACAATTTTTATATGCATATTTCATAATTTTAGGATAGAAATTGCAAATGAGCTATTATTCCAACAGGTAGAAAAATATATTATTCAATTTTAAAAACCCGGTATGACTTTAAGTTCTGTTACAGTTCTGACAACAACTGTAAATATAAAAAAAAAAAAACTGTAGTTGTCTTTCCTAATAATTGATGACATTGTTTTACTATGTTAATTATTTCCTGACAAAAAATAATAATTTTGAGTGAAACCTACAGTATGCAGTTGAAAAGAAACATTCTGAAAAAATTAAGATCTTTAACTGTTGTTCCCATGGGTTTCGAAGAAGAAGCAAAAGAGGAAAACAAATCAGGAGATAGGCCATGATGGTTGCCAACCCTTGCTAACCTTGGCAACTATAGATAATATCCCCCTTATGGGACAATCTATGTAAGAGATGTGTGATGCCATATTCAGCAATAGATTAGATAAGTTGTAATGATATGAAAGCTCAAATTCTCATCAAACCAGTCATGGACTAACTTTACTCTGTTGAGTAGGCCGGTAAGAAAATTTCAATGCCAATGCTATGCCTTAGAATCAATTTTTTATATTATTGATTTCATTAAACACTCTTCTTTTTCATCATGACCAGCCCATAAAAGTCCACTGCTAAAAATGTTCCTCTCTTGTTGTAGCAGTTTTTAATTAATTTTGCAGGAAGATGCAGCTGCCCATCTCCAGTTTCAGCTTCTCTCTATCTGTGATGCTATAGGGTTAGGTTTTTTACCTTGAGCTTTACCTGTTTCTTAAGACAAATATTAACTGAATGTTTGTAATTTACTTGCTCTGACATTGACATCCTTAGTGTCAAATACCAGTTGCTGATTTCTGCTATCAGTCAATAAAACAGAAAGGGAAATTTTGCTATCAATATTCCATGGTTAAACACTCAACAATTTGTAATGTTTTTTGTTGAATAAAATAAAATTGATGTCTTTAAGGTTCAAATGGAAAATAATTTAGTCTTTGAAAAGTAGCTATGGGGTCGTCCATTAATTATGTGAGTCGATTTAGGTGATTTTTCTAACCTCCCCCTCCACCTGATAAGATGTTAGATATGGCTTGACCCCACCCCCTCCCCCAAATCTCACGTGTGATTTTTCAATGTAATATAAAACATGCTTTGTTGCATTGAGTTTATTAAGACAAAAAACATAATTTACGTAATTATTATTTTTATGATAATTAATAGAATCAGGTTTTACTTTGCAGAAGTCCATTTTATTAAAGTTGGTAAAAAATTACTTCGTGTACATCCGCTCGATAAAATAAAGGCGTAACTTTCATATATTGACATAAATAACCATTATTAATTATTAAATTTATTTATTTTTACCTGTCTTTCTGCCTGTCTGTCCAGGCTAAACTTCGGAATGGCTGCGTAGATTGATTAATTGGATTTATGAAACTTCACAAACAGAAAGAGAGTAATGCGAGGAGTGATTTAGGCTATATTTTATCTGTAATACTTACAGACTTTTTTTTATTATTTGAAAAACTGATAAAATAATGGTCTTTTACAATTAGCTTATTCAGGCAAAGCTGGGGTAGATTGCTAATTTCTTTTAAAACAACTAAAATCAAAATTACTTGTCATTATTTACTGGTTTTGGAAATATTGGCAAATACTTTATTTTGTTTGCTCTTAATGTTACTTAAAGTTTGCAAAAAGGTTTTTTATTAGTGATCAATGGCAAAAAGTCATTTTTTATGAAACACTCTTTTTGCTTTTCTGAAACTAATGTTTATTATTCATTTTTTTACATGTATTGTTTGTAAACTTCACTAATTAATTTTTCATTTTTATCACATACTCTGAGGGTCGAAATTCCACTCGCAACTAAAACTGCTCAGGGCAAACAGTGCAATAAGACCAAGGTGACCCCTGTCACACTATCTGTGCAACATCAGGGGACTTTATTCCAACCTTAACGCTGTCCACTACCATCTGGAGACGACGAAGTTAGCCTTGCTTTTTTTAACCGAGACTCAGGTGTCCTCTCCCGCTGATACTTCATATCTCTCCTACCCTGGGTACAAATTAGAACACTGCTTTGTGCCCCGGGTTGGCGATTGCATATACGTCTGAGAGGACCTATGTTTTCGACGCCTCGGCAGTCTTGAAGGTCCATCCTATGACTGCGCGTAGAGAACGACCACCACCCCAGCGTCTACGGATGCCTCTATAGGTCCCATAGCGGTAATGCCGAAACGGACCGACTCATCGACTATGTCCAAATGGCTATAGATTCCTTGCTACAGCAGATCCCATCCGTGGAGATAGTGATCCTTGGCGATTTTAACGCCCATCATGCCGAATGGCTCGGTTCACGTTTAACCGATCATGGGGGGAGATCTGTTTATGACTTTGTCTTGGCATATGGTCTTACACAGCTGGTTAGTTCGCCTACGCGAATTTCAGATGTGGACGATCATGCACCTTCCCTGGTGGACTTTCTGCTGACCTCTCATCCGGACTCATCAGGTTTCCTTCGACGCTCCTTTAGGCTCGTTGGACCATTGTCTTGTCCGGAGTGTGGTGCCACTCATACTAACGTCGTGGTTGCATTCTGCAGGCTGCCGCCGTGTTTGGCATTATAGGTCGTCTGATTGGGATAGGATGCGGTCTTTTTTTGCATCCTGCCCTTGGGCAGATTTGCTTCTCGCCGGACGATCCCAGCGTTGTTACAGATTCTGTCGCTGATGTGGTACTTCAGGGTATGGAACTTTTTATTCCACCCTCTGTCGTGCCCATCGGAGGCAGATCCCAGATGGTTTGGTCGCTCCTGTAAAATAGCATCACGCTATAAGCAGGTGTGATACCGGGCCTGGACTGACGCATCAGCGTCTCTGGATGTAAATACCAGCGCTCTTAAATAGAAGCATAATTCCGCCTCCAGGTCCTTCAAAAGAGTCATTGCCAAGGCAAGGTCTGAGCACATAGGCAGAATTAGCGAGAAGCTAGTTCTTCCTTCGGAAACCCGTGCATTCTGGTCTCTCGCCAAGGCTGTCCAAAGGAGCTTCTGTCAGCCATCTCTTCCATCTCGGCACAGAGAGGACGACTCATTGGCCCATGCCGCAAAGGAGAAAGCCGATGTATTAGGCTCTCTCTTTGCGTCCAACTCGACTCTCAATGATGAGGGGAACACACCGCCGACCATCCCACGGTGTCAGTGTTCCATGCCGGATGTGCCTTTTACACAGCGCTCGGTTCGTAAATAACTCCTCTCTCTGGACGTCAGCAAATCGAGGGGGCCTGATAGAGTCCATCCCATTGTGCTGAAGACGTGTGCTCCGAAGTTGGCAAAAGTTTTAACGCGTCTTTTCCGGTACTCCTACTCCCAAGGCGTAGTCCCGAAATCATGGAAGGCAGTTTTAGTCCACCTGTTCCCTAAAAAAGGCGACCACTCAGAACCGTCCAACTACAGGACTTCACCTCCTTTTTCTCCAAAATAAATCCATTATAAACTGCCTGAGGTATCTTGAGGATCATCGTATTAGCGATCACAGGATATTGACCGCCAATACGGTATTCGTCGGGGTCGATCAGCTGGTGATCTTCTAGTCTACCTGACGCATGGATGGGCGGAAATAGAGTCCAAGGGGGAGGCGTTGGCCGTTAGTTTGGACATAGCGAAGGCCTTCAATCGGGTCTGGCATAAAGCGCTTCTTTCGAAGCTCCCTTCTAGGGGCTTCCCGAGAAATTGTGCAATTGGATCACCAGTTTCCTTCCTGATCGGAGCATCAAGGTCGTAGTAGACGGTGAATGTTCTGATTACAAGCCTATCAACGCTGGTGTTCCACAAGGCTGCGGTCTATCACCAACACTGTTTCTTCTGCATATCAATGAAATGTTGGAAACTGGTAACATGCATTGCTATACAGACGACAGCACTGGTATCTTACTGGTACCTTATATACCGGCCGTGCCAGTATTTCTTGAGAAAACGTCACCGAGTACCGGGACTAACTTGTGTCTGAAGTCGAGTCTTTGCCGAACAAAGTCTCGGATTGGGGGCGACTAACCCTAGTCCAGTTTAATCCCCAGAAGACACAAGTTTGCGCGTTTACCGCTAAAAAGATACCCTTTGTCGTATCTCCTCAGTTTCAAGGCACTCCCCTTGCTGCCTCAGCTAGCATCGGAATTCTCGGCGTAGACATCGAATAGTGTGCAGTTTCGTGCTCACTTGGAAGGGTAGGCCAAATTGGCCTCTAAAATGCTTGGCGTGCTCAGCAGAGCGAGACAGTATTTCATGCCGTCACATCGCTTGCAAGTTCCTGATAGCATCACAGTTCTTTGATTTTTTCTAACTGACTGTTTATTTCAGGCCCTACCTGAAATAAACAGTCGTTTAACCAAGGTTCTAATGAGATTGAACAAGCCACAGATCAGAATAGTAACAAGTGCTATCACAGGACATGGCTCCTTTAACAAACATTTATTTACCGTAGGTGTTACAGATAGTCTCATGTGCAGGGCTTTTATGGGGGAGGAAGAAACGGCGGCCCACGTGTTGCTGACATGTCCGGAGGTCGCTGCATATAGGACTAAACATCTCGGCACGTCGGGATCACTCCCCGAAGTTGATTGCAACATCAAAATGACTGTTGAACTTCTCTTGGAGATTTCATGGCTCGAATAATTGCATTATTCCTGCCCACATGCAAAATACGCGCTTAGA